AGTATATGTTCGTAAATACATACATGTATAGGAATAATTAGTAATTAATAATTGACGTATAGGCGGCGGAAAGATGACTGTCTCTGATGATCCAATAGCCGAAAGAGTCAAATCTATTATTCAACCATCGGTCGATGGTTTAAAGAATCCATTTGATAGCGATCACGTAAGAGGTATATTTCATATGCTTTGAGAATATATAGATTGTATAATGTATAAGTGCCTTTTGCATTTAATTGATCGAAAAGATCTCAAACATCTGAAAAAATCAAAACTTTAATTGTTATAAACTTAAATGACCTAGATGACGGAAATGTGGATCAGAATACAAGCAACAATGACGATGTGTTTGAAGTTGAGGTACATTGACAATGGCATTTTGTGAAGTTCGAAATATATTACTATACAAAAATAATACTAATTACACTGTATTTATCAACTAGACACTCGACGAAGCATTTTTGACACGGAATTGGGCTGATAACACTCCGGCAACGTTGCATTCGACGAAGAGTAATGAATTACAAGTTCCGCCATACAACGATGAAGAAGCTCTAGACTCGGATCTTCTTTCATATGCTGAAGTAGAGAGAGAGCTATAGGAACATCGTCGAAAGAAATTCGAAACTCTGCAAGTTCGACTGTAAAACAAAAATATGTGACACCGAATTGGACTGAATGGACCCCGGCAACTTTGCGTTCAAAGAAAAGTGGTTTCCAAAATTGTATAGACGTAAANAAAACAAAATTTATCTGCAGTGGGTCTCTACTTATATACTTCTTTGACTTTTTTACATGCGAGATATGTTAGTGGCTGTTTGCCACCTAGCGGTGACTTTTAGTACAAAGCCAAAACTTGCAGATGAAAAAATGCTCTTGCGGTGGAATTTATGGATAAAGAATTCAGGTATAAAATTATTCAAAACTGTTTTGTAAAAAATGAAAAAAGTAAAAAATTAACCCCCTAAACCTCTATTCATTCCGCAATACAAGCGACAGAATAAAAAAAAAGGTTTAGTAAAGAATTGAAAAAACTCACCCCTAAATTCTATTTTTTAGGGGTTGGGGAGTGTCAGATCAACAAAATAACCCCCGGAATCGATTCGGCGACTCAAAAAACCCTTGTATACCAAATCTTGTGGGATTTACTTAATTTTTTGATGGTGCCAGTTCGGGCATGAATAGTAAAAAAGCCGTGCCAGTTAACCGGTTAACACATACGTTGCAAGATGTCTATGCAGAAGTCTTGTCTTCCAAGACCTTTACGTTTGTATAATCGGAAGTCTCCGCTTGCGAAATTCTTGCATGTTGCGAAATGTCTGTGCAGACCAAAAACAACCACCAATAGCTTTCCTTGCTGTTTAACACTTTTCTTTCGTGATAAAAACACAAAACACTTAGCTTAGCTATGTACTATCGGAAGATAATTTGTGCAAAAAAATGAAAATTTATAAAAGGCAAAGTCTTATTATTAATAATACAATTATGTACTTGATGCAACTTTTTGATATCATCCTTTTTGTAAACTTTTTTGGAGAGAAAGAATTTTTTATACTTAGTTATGGTAAAATTATTTTATATTTTCTATTGTTTTCTATTGTTTCTCAATAATGTAGCATAATGTACATATAGAACAATTTACTTAATGCTACTTTTTGATATCACTGGTTATAAATCACGTTTTGTAAAAAAAAGAAATAATAACGTACAACAGTTTACTTGATACTATTTTTTGATATCATTTCTTTTGTGTGTGTGTGTGTAACGTAGAATATAGTAATAAACTAAAATATATTTTTCTTGTTTAAGTAAACTTTTATAAAGAATGAAGAACAGTTTGAGTTAAGATTTTTAATTTAAGTCAATTTAAATACAATACGTATTGTGCGTGTACTTCGAGGCGCCTTTTTTATCTTTTTTTGATAAGGTAAGTTTTTTGAGATATCACACATTCTCTATTTTATAAAACAAATTTTATAGAAAAAGAAGTTTTAGTAAATATGTAAAAAATAACGTATATAACAGACATTAAAGTACTTACTTATATTTTTTTGTAATTTTTTTCTTTCATTTTTCAACTGTCTGATTTCTTGCTTTAATTTCTTATTTTCTTCTATATTTACTGTTTCCAGGTTCATTTGTTCCTCGAAATCTTTTTCGAAGACTTTGTCCACCTCCATATTCATTTCAAACTGTAAAATACATTAGTAATAAAATAGTTATTAATTTACAAAGGTACAATAAGAAATATATGGTCTATGACAATACTTCGACCAGTATTTATTTATAAAAAAGAATACTTCCTTTTTTCAGCGACGGTGATTATCTATCTACGCAACTATCGCGCGCGTTCGTTTGTTGTTTAGTTCAATCCATAGCGCACCTTCATTTAGTTACTAACTAGGCGATCTAATTGGTTGATTATTAACCAGGGAATTAATTTGATTGGTAGACAAAGTCTGATTTGTTAAAACTTGCATATGAGAGATAAAACATTTGAGCGTCGCAACGGAAAATGTACATTCATCTACTAAGCTCCCTTAAATGTATGCAAAGATCCTTCAAAATTGGAATTTGCGAAGTTTTCTTTGTTAATGTATCCATAGTAAAAAATAACCTCGCAAACCTCGTAATTCCACTTAAAATACTAGTTTTTCAAATTTTATCAATTTACTTTACTAATTTAAGAAGAAATTTTTGTTTATGAAAGTCTTGTATAAACAGTTTTTAATCTGCAGAAATAGCTTGAAAAGTAAAACGCCAACAAGCTGAAGACCATAGAGGAGCTAAAAAACAACATTCGAGACGAAATCGCAGCGATATCGTCCGAGACGCTGGCACATACAATGGAAAATGCCGAAAAAAGAGCTCATTTTTGTCTCAGTAATAAAGGCGGACATTTGATCNATGTGGTTTNTGGAAACTAATCAAAATAANTTGTGATNAATCAAATTTAATAAAAAAATACGACTTTGTGAAATCTGTTGAAAATTCTCTAAGTTATTCAATACTTTCATCGACCAGATTGAGATGGCGCACCCTGTATTAACTGTATTGCTAACGCTATACGGATTCAAATCTCGCAGACAGTGTACTGACAAAATACAAACGCGTATTCGACTTATATTTGCATAGTAAGACACAATCATCAATGTACCTTACTAGTACAATGCACTTTACGTTTGTACCTCAAAAAAATCAAAACTTATGACAAAGTAAAAACTGTATTGCTAACGCTATACGGATTCAAATCTTGAAGACAGTGTACTGGCAAGGTACAAACGCGTATTTGACTTATATTTGCATAGTAAAACACAATCATCAATGTACCTTATTAGTACAATGCACTTTACGTTTGTACCTTAAGAAAATTAATTCGGATATCGCAGACAGTGTACTGACAAAATACAAACGCGTATTCGACTTATATTTGCATAGTAAGACACAATCATCAATGTATCTTACTAGTACAATGCACTTTACGTTTGTACCTCAAAACAATAAAACCTTATGACAAAGTAATAACTGTATCGCTAACGCTATACGGATTCAAATCTCGCAGACAGTGTACTGACAAGGTACAAACGAGTATTCGACTTATATTTGCATAGTAAAACACAATCATCAATTTACCTTATTAGTACGATGCACTTTACGTTTGTACCTCAAGGAAATCAATTCGGATTTCGCAGACAATGTACTGGCAAGGTACAAACGAGTATTTGACTTCTATTTGCATAGTAAGACACAATCATCAATGTACCTTATTAGTACGATGCACTTTACGTTTGTTCCTCGAAAAAATCAAAACTTATGACAAAGTAATAAGTGTATCGCTAACGCTATACGGATTAAAATCTTGCAGACAGTGTACTGACAAGGTACAAACTAGTTTTCGACTTATATTGGCATAGTAAAACACATTCATCAATGTACTTTATTAGTACTTTAGCGTTTGTTTGTTGGATGGCGGTAGGCACGGTGAGTGTAGAAGAATAAAGCTTCTTTTTCTTAAAGAATAAAAGATAACTTTATTTTCACTATGTACATTTTTTGTTTTCTATTAAATGGAGGCCTTGAAAAGGGCCGTTTGTTTTTAGGCCTTGTCTTTGGCCTTTGTTAAGCTGCGGCGGGCTTGGTCTTTTCGTTCCAGAAGATCCGGGGCTCCCGGTGCGTCAATCTCCACGGTCGCCAGTCCTCCGTGTATTCCAGAAGTGTTGAGCCGCTGTGTGCGTCGGTTTCACGGGTTGCCTCTGGTGTCTCTGCCGAGAAGGAAGTTTGGCAGCCTCTCTCGGATGTGTCGACTCTGGTTTGAGTTCCTCGATTGGTCCTCCGAGCCCGCTTGGTCTGTGTTGCCGTCGTGGCGACGTCTGGCGTCCCGCAGGTGATGCTCGTCTGGCTGGCCTGAGAAGTCGAAGGTCGTCCTTTCTTTTTAGTCCTGCTCCTTCTCGTCTGCGTGGCAGCTTCCTGGAACGTGAGTTTTTCTTTTTCCGGGCCCCTCGGAGAGTCGTCGAAATCGATCGGCGAGAACTTCAAAACGGCTTCCTCGGCTAGAGCGATGGTGTCGGTCTGTTCCCACAGGGCCCTGAGAGTTCTCGGGAGTTTTCTGCTCATATGTGTGGAGAATCTCCTAAAAAGACTTTTGTGGCTAGACGCCTTGATTTTTTTGACTTCTCTAAGAAGAAAAGTGTTCTCTGAGAATGTAGCTCGAGCCTCAATAGCGAACTGTTTTCCTCAAGAGAGTAATGCTCGAGCGGTTTAATCGCGAGCGAGTGATCTTTTGGCCCGCCGACGACCGGTTTATGTAACCGTCGGAGGAAATGTCGATTGCGGGTGATCTGCCGCGGCATGCGCCACGCCGCGGTGGCGCGCCGAATTAGCTGCGCGCGGCGGCTGCCGGCGCCCAGCAGTGTGCCCAGTTTTGACTCTCTTACAGCACGCTGCAGCAAGTGGAGGGGATACGCACACAGGCAACCAGCCGTGTACGTGTGCGCTCGACGCTTCGGTCGTCTTCGAGCGGTAGAAGAGAACAGAGATATGTCTACTGTCTCTTTCTTTCAACATAGGCATAGCGTACGCGGCTAGCACGAGCGGCTAAGCCTCGCTCTAGCAGCTTGTATATCATTTTTCGGCGTTTGCTCTTGTTCTTGCACTTATTACTTACAGAAACATTTCGATTTAATTAAAAAATATTAACATCATAAAAGAATAATTAGAAAATGAAACATATGAGGAGCATAAATGAAAAGTAAAGAATATAAATCCACTC